AAAGCAGCCGCCTTCCTGTCCACACGAGGCCGCGCACACGGCGCCGCCACCCTATGGCGTGAGGCTCTCTTTACACTTGGGAAGAACCTTCAGGCTCGTGCCAAGGTCGCAGCGTTTGCCAGCATTGCGTGAAAAATGTCAGTGGCAGTAAAAAAAATTCCCTCCAGTCGTGCACTCACCTGTAAATGACGCCCCCATCTGGGTAGGCGCCCTCCCCGGCTGTGAGAAGAAACCCCAGAAGGACCCACCCTTCCTGCATGAACGCTCCATCCCCGCCCGAAGCAGGTGTGAAGACCCCCAAACCCCATCCAGGTGTGAAGACCCCCCAAACCCCATCCAGGTGTGAAGACCCCCAAACCCCCATCCAGGTGTGAAGACCCCCACCCGCGCGAGGCTCCGCCCTCCGCCCTACCCTGGCTGGTCTGGCTGCTCCCTCCCTCTGAGGGAGCCTCCTTGTGCTGAAGCGCTTCTCCAGGCTGACTAAGGGTGGGCACCCCCGGGTATACAGGGCCCCGCGGCCCCTCCCCGTTCATTTCACAGTTACAGAGTATTCGTGCGGCACTAGCTACATCCAGTCTGTGGGCGCCCACGGAGCTCACACCCTCGGCACCCTCGGGGCCACCTGGCCACTTTGACAGCACCCTCCAAGCAGTCCCTGTCGAGCTAAAACTCAGAAGCCTACGAACCTGGCCCCGGGTCTCCTTTCCCTGTGAATCAGGGCTAGACTTCTTCACCCAAGGTCCCCACACCTGACCTCTCCTGGGGGTGCAAGGGGCACATGAGACGGAGGGGGAGGAGAAAGGGGAGGTTAGTGTCGCACCTGCTTCATCCCACTGTTTTGCCCCAGATGGGTGGTGGGGGGGAGTTGCCAGTCTAATAACTAGGCAGAAAAATAAAGATGTCAAGGCGGGCATGCGGGTGGTGCTGACAATGACATGACAGTGGCGGACACGGTGGTGGGGGTGTGACCAGGCGATGCCACCGACGGGCACGGGGGCAGAAGGCTGGACAGAAGCATAGAGGCACGCAGGCTCGCCACTTCCTGGGCCACCCGCCGGCCACCTCCTGTTCTCGCTGAGCCATGACCCGGCAGCCCCGGCCAGATGGGCTCCACGGCCTGGACGACCAGGACGAGCCACTGTGAGTCCGGCCGAGCTACTCCGGCAAGCGATTTCCTACTACGGGGCCTCTGATGGCCTCCTCGTGGACACGAGGGGGGAAGGGAGCCATTGGCTTGTGCAGAAGCCCGGGGCCGGACCATCTCCTATGCCAGGACCACAACCGCTGTCGGTTTAGCGAGCTGAATCTGCTCTGGGGAGAGGAGTCCACAGTCACGGTGTGTGTGGCTGGCAGGACCTGTGGGGGGGGCACCCTGGCAACTCATGCTCTGGAACTCCAGGCTGCAGGGCTCGGCTGCCCCTGCTGTGCCTCCCGTCCCGCCTGGTGTCAACCCTTGGGCCGCTAGCACTGGCGCCTGGGGGGTTCCTGGTGTGGGCTGCAGCCGTGGCGAGAACTACACCTGCCGTGGGCGTGGCTGCACACCATGCGCCTCAGCAGGAAGTTCCAGGAGACACAGTGGTCTCCACTGTGGGCGGGGCTCGGGTTTCTTCCCACTCCGTTTACTCAGTGCCATGAGGAGAACTCTGGTCACAGCCTCCTGCATTGTTCATACCTGAGAAACACCAATCTCAACTCCCAGAGAGCAGCTGGGGCTGGTGGCAAGTTGTAGCGACTCCCAGGGGGAGCTCACCACACCCTGGTCCTGCCCGCCCCCCGCGTGGGCACAGGCGCGTACACACAAGTGCCTTTCACTTCCCAGACTGGCACTGGAGTGAGCTGGGTCTCCCTCTTTGACTCCCTCTTTCTCGCGCCCACCTCCCTGTCTCTCTCGTGTGATTGAATAGCTCTGGCCTCTATCAGTCAACCCCAGGGCATCAAGCTATGGATGGCAGATCTGAGGTGTGTCCACTAGAAATGTTTCTTTTTTTTTTAAGATTTATTTAATCTTAAATTAAATAAATCTTATTTAATCACAGAGCTGGGGTACAGGCCAGAGGCTCAGGGGCGGTGAGAGGCTTCACCAGAGACACAGCGGGGAGCAGGACAGGCCGACGGATGAAGTCCACTGCTGAGGGGAGCAGCAGGCGGCCAGGAGGGGTCTGCCGCGCCCTGTGGGTCCCCTCCGGGGCGGGCGGGGATCGAAACTCCAGCGGAAGTGGCTTTAGCTTCTGAGAGCTTGCTAGAATGTTTCTCTTTGACCTTCTCCTGCCCTGGTGCCCGGGGTCTCTCTCCTGGGGAGAACATGCCTTGACCATTGGGCATTTCTAGGGCTTTTGGCTGCAGTGCCATCTTAAGTTCCATAGGTGCCCGTCCAGGGCTGGGATGCCCGAGAATCTCTGGGCAGAGAGGGAGGCGGGTGGCGAGGGGGCAAGGGGTGCGCTGAGCACATGGTGTTGCTACTTACTTTCAGCCAATCTCGCCATATGGGAAGAGGGACACGGCATCACCAGATGTTCCAAACTGCCAAGAGAAGACAGCAACCTGGATATTTTTAAAAGCAAAATCCCTCGGCTTTTAAATGTTAAGCCTAATTCAAATACAAAAAAGTACCATGTGGGCCAAATAAACCCCATCCGTGGGCGGGGCTGGCAGGTTTGGGAGCTCCGGGAGAGCCAGCACTGAGCAGCACTAGCATGGAAGGGGCGAGCAGAGGAATGGGCCCCGCGCGGGCTGAGACGCGGGCTGAGACGCTGCAGCCAGGGAGGCGCGCAGGGAACGGCGCCTCTTCCGGGAAGGCTTCCAGACCCGCTCCTGAGGGCAGCACCGGCAGGCAGCTCCGGCTGAAGGGCGGGGCCACTCTCCTTCCCGGGACTTAGCCACCAGGCGACTCAGCGGTCCAAGGAGGCTCAAGGAATAATGTCGCACGAGTCCCTTAGACCACGTCGGTGTTCGCAGTTGGTGGCGGTAAAAGTAATGAGAACAGTAGTATGGCTGGCAGACTGGGGCCGAGGGACGGGGAAGGGGGCCGAGGGAACTCGGGGACTGGCGAGCTGGGTTGTGCAGGGGTGCCCACGGGTGTGTGTTTCCTGTTGGCAGCTCCGAGGACGGGGGCGCGTGGGAGCCGCGGAAGGAGGCCTGACAGGGCCGGGAAGGCGGGGTGTCCACACACCAAGGAGCGCCGCTGAGCCCGAGACAGGCAGAAGCCGCTGCTTTCCGGAGCAGGGTGGCCGGGGAGCCTTACTGTGGTAAAGCGTCGGGGTGACAGGGACAAACGTTGGACATGTGCACAGCAGACAGTCGGACAAAGTACGATGAAAGCGAGCGGACAAGAATCACGCACGGGGCAGCGAGGCTGAGGAGGGGAGAGGGCGGGCCCGAGTCACAGAAGCGACCTGCCATCTCTTCAGTGCGACAAGCCGCTGTGAAGACTGTCACTGAAACAAATACAGTACTTTATGGGAAAAATGGCTACCGTGGGGAGGTTTGCTTTGTGCGTTTCACCACAATACAAAACACGCAACGAGCATAAAAGACAGGTCTGGTTAGAAAGACAGACGTGCGCGTCACTGCACGTTTTGCCTCAAAATAAGGAGGAGGCTAGCTTGACCTGCATGCTTAAGTTTGCAGAGAAGTAGTGAGGACCGACTCCATTTTTTTTGAAATGGAAACAAGAAAACAAGATAGTCAAAGAATTTTGAAGATTTTTTCGGTGTGTGATAAAGCAAAATACTACTGGCAGGGTGCACTACCGACAGTGGGTGTCCGGGTCTCCACTGCAAGGTGGCTTTTTCAGTCTTACTGAGGTAGAGTTGACATGCGACACGGAGGAAGTCTAAGGCGTGGGCCTGGTTCTGTGACTGTAGCGCAAGGTCGCGCACGCAGCCGTTGCCCAGAGGGCTGCACCGTGTGGGGTGCCCTCGGCCACCTCAGACCTCGAGGCGCCCTCCCGTCCCCACTCACTGCCTGAGCGAGAGGGCTCCCTGGGGTAGGGTGACAAACTGAGTGCCAGCTGTGTGGCCATGGTCCCCCGGCGCCCAGGGCACTGCAGAGACAACAAAGCTGGACTCGGCGGCTCCTCAAACCCCCGGGCCGGTGGGCACGCAGAGCTGGTGCCCGTCATACAGATCAGCAGCCGCAAGCAAACAGCTATGCTTACGCCTACAAGGAAAACTCTCACCCCCTCCCCAGCCCACAAAGTGTGCTTGGCCTGTGAACCGGGTGCAACTTCTCAGACCTGATGAGGGTCTCTGACCCTTGCCTGGGAGTTGCAAAAAGGCCGTCCCTTATCACCCTAAACGCTCCCTTATCATCCTAAACGCTCCCTCAAGCTTTCTTTCACCCTGTGTCGACTCCTACACCGGGCACTGTGAGTGCCCTGATTAGAGAGCACATACACCTGGTGCCCCCGAGAATGCATCATGCATGCATAGCACCACCCTGATTATGTCATATGCACGGTTTTATAAACTACATGCATGGTGTCCCCTATCACATGTCAAACATACACCACGTCCCTGCATCTTTAGGCTGAGTCTCCACCCTAGCGCCTCAGACGCGACTGTATTTGGAGATGCGACTGTCTTTAACCCACAGGTTAAGGCGTCACCTGCGGCACCCATGGGCTGCCTGCAGTCACCAATTGTAAGTAAGCCCTGATTGCCACCTGCGCTCTGACTGGCTGCAGACAGGAGGCTCCCAGG